TTTATTGACAAAACTGTATGATAAAGAAAAATTATTTCATATTGTTTTTTCATCTCCACAGCAGTTCTGAAGTTGGTGCACTTTCCCAGAGACCTTCAATTTCTCTACTTTAAATTAAGCTGCTGACCTGCTGTGGATAAATATCCGTAAATTCGGCCTCAATCGAAACTCACTTTTGATCTAGGGGCAAAATCCTGTGTGCAAGGAGAGGAGAGGTAACCCCTTCTGGCCTTAGACCAAACATTGATGGTTTTCTAAGTAAACACTTCTTCCTATTCGCGAGGCTTCCCGCCCCCTCGGCCCCCCTTTATGCTGCCTTTCTTCTACTTTGTACTGAATGCCAGGGCTCCCCAATCCTGCCTGGGGCCCTTCACCTAGTCCAATCCCATAGGGTTCCCCCAATGTCCGCACGGGAGGCCCCAGGGCGCCGAGTGCCAACCAAGCGCCGACAATGTGGACGGCTGTCACTGGGGAGCAGGCGTGGGCCAAAGCCGCGGTGATTTCGGACTGCTCATCGCCCGGGCCCGCGTGGCTGAAGGTCTAGGCACCCCTGGGTCCGCCCCGGCAAGCCTGGCGTGCAGCTGTCGCGAAGCAGGAAGCTAATCGCGGCCCCTGGCCTGCGTTGACAGCCGAATGGGAAAGGAAAAGGGCTGGCTGTGGCTAGCAGCCGCACCTCTTCGGCTAGGACAACCCGAGAGCTAAGCCCCTGCCCCGGCCTGAAGGCAAGCCGGAGACTGCAGAGCCTCTGCCACCGACTCAGCCCAGCAGGGGCCCGCCCAAGGGCCACTCCCCAAGGGAGGCAGCCAGTCACTCGCCCGCCCTCGCGGACCCGCTCCCGAAGGGACGGTCTCCCGCCCGCCCGCCCGCCCTCACACACAGCTCCTCAGGCCAGGCCCCCAGGGCTTCGTCCACCTCTCACCTTTGACGACGCGGTCAGCCCCGGGAGGGGGCGGCGGGAGCGGGGGCGGGGGCGGTGCAGCCCGGGCCGGCTCCGGGGCGGCCATGCTGGGCCCGGGGCTCGGCTAGGCGCTGGGCCGGGCGGGGTAGGGGGCGGGGGCGGCGGCTACCAAAGCCAAGCGGCAGCGCCGCCAGGGAACATGGCGGACCCTCTTTCCCTACTGAGGGGCTGAGACCGGCATGCACCGCGAGTGCGGGGGCGGGGGCGGGGCAGGCTCTAGGGACTTGCGCAAAATTATTGAGACTCGGTGAGAAACAGGACGAAACCAAGGGATCGGGTTAAAATTCTCTGCGTGCAGACACAAGAGTCGGGAAAAGGGAGAGTCTGTACCTACTCACTTTGGTCATTGAGTGACAGGAAGCAGGATACAGGCTCTCAAGGAGTTCTCAGTAAGAAAGGGAAACGTGATCAAACCTCAGAATCTTCTAGTGATAATGGAAAATAATTCAGCTCTGGGTACTGGAGTGAGAATAGAGACGACATTGTGGGTGCTAGTGACCATTCAAAATGGAGTTTGAGCTATGATTCTGGCCCTTGTGTTTAATAGAGTGCAATTGTCTAGAACCTCAAGTCACAGAATAAGAATGCAGCCGGAGCTGTCTAAGCTGTCTAATCATAACAGGTAAGAAAAAGGGAAGGGATAATACCAAAAAATGTTCAAAGAATCTGCAGAATTCACCTGGAAAAGACACAGCTTCCCTCTTGATTCATTCAGAAATTAGAAATTGGAAGGCAGAGGAATTTAGGAATTCCTCTCTCTGTTCTGAGAGCATCTGTTAGAACAAACCAGAAGCCTTTTTCCCCCACCCTGTGTCCAGATTAGTGGGGCATAACAGCTTTGCCTCCAGTCTTCATCTGGGGGCATAGCTACTAGTCAAGGACCAGGAGCTCTGGACCCTGGAACAGGACCCAAATTTGTAAAGTATTTCTGTGCACTTACAGAATCTGGGCCCAGGTGACTGGGTCAGGGTGACCAACATTCATGGGAAAGATCAATACTTATCAACAGGAGAAAGTATGTATGACACTAGGCGATCTACTAAATCCAGGACTTCAAACTGTTTCTGTCCTGGTCAACGGTCTACTTAGAATTTGCAGTTCCACCCCCTATATATAGAATCAGAATCTGCATTTTAATGAGAGCTGTAAGAATCACATGGGGGATTGAAATACCTAAAAGGGATTCTAGAACTTGCCTAATGAAATTCTTGCAGAGCCTTTGTAGTGTATAGGACCTTAGGTGTAATCCTGAGCCCCCATCCAGAACCTTCTGAGGTCAGGCATTCCCACTTGAAATGACAAGCAGACCAGCCTGGAACAGCTAGATAGTTCTTGAAAGAAAGACCAGCAGGAAAAATAAAATAAAATAAAAAGGGCAGTCTGAATGGCTACTACAACAACAAGCATGTTGTTTGCTGGGGAGCCATCAAGGCAAGCAATCAAATCCCTTCAGAACAATGCCACCTCCAAGGGATCATATAGCAGCCATGTAAGCTTGCTGGTGACTGCGTCTATTGGTGAGTGGAAGTGGGGGAAAAGCAACAGTGAAGATATGAGCTGAGTCTGACCACATTCCATAGACTCCCATCGACCTGGAGATATTAGAGAGAAAAGGAAGGACTGGTTGGTCCAAAGTGTGGTGAGACCTGGGGACTCCTGAGCCCATGGACAAGGACATAGCCACAGAGGGCTATAGCTGAGAGTGGAATGTCCAGCTGATACAAAGTGAGGGGAGATGCACAAGAACACCCAAACTTCCATATAGGGATGGTCAATTTTAGACATTGGCTACCTAAAATGGGGGAGAGGGGCACTATTAAGGCACGAAGTGACTGGCTTACAAGTTTTCAAGAAGGAGTTTAGTTTTAGAGTGTGCAGCGGAAGGTAGAATCTCCATTGAATGGTTTTCATCTTGTCTAGACAGGTCTGGTGAAAGGAGGTGGGGGTAAGATTTTTATGATTCAATCGTGAGTAATTGTTAACATGACTAATTACGATCATCACAACTGTAAAAGTAGAAATTTTGTAATATAAAGGGGGCAATAGTTAAAAGTATGTTCCAGGAACAGAGGACCCTAGGTCCATCAAGGGGGAAGAGCATCAGCAGAATGTGGAACCGTATCCAGAGAAGCAGCGATACCAGAGATGGAGGCAGAGATGAGGACGTAGAACAGCTGAGGATTCTAGGTCCACAGAAATTGAAAGACTGTTTGCTGGCGGCCAGGAGGCAGGCTTGAAGAATGTACACCCTTTTGTTGTTTAAATTACTATATATTCTTGAGTGTTTTGGTGTACATCCCACTCCACAACCCCCAAAACAAAACAAAAAAAACCCACAGAGGGAATAAAAGCAAATACTGTTGAACGATGATACACCAAGGAGATTATAATCATTGCAATGAAACAATGAGCGTAAAACCAATGTTCTCCCATGTAAACTATCACTCAATTCACAAACACACACAAAAAAGAATCATATGGGGCAATCTTGTTAAAATGTACATTCTGATTCAGTATGTCTGGCACAGAAATGCAAATTCTCAGCAGGGAGTTGAACTGATTTGAAGCCTGAGTATCTACTAAGATTTATATATCTTGATGGGATAGGATCCAAGTAGGATGGGGAACGAAATATCTGCCCATCCGTCAGTATCTGTTCATGATGGATGTAATAATAAGTAAGCACTGGTCCGAAGGTCTCAAAGAGCACCTTTCTATAGCTTCTTGTGTAATCTCCACGATCCTGGTACCTGCATTAAAAGCAGGGAAATGCCCAGTGGAAAGTCTACAAAGTATCTTTTAGAGGAAAGGGACTCTTGGAGTGAGGTAGGGGGTGAAATGGAATCTTTTGGCATCCATGTTTCAAAACTCTACAAGGGAAGGAGTAAGGAGGGGAAGCCATGAGAAAACAGTAAGGAAGGGATAGGAGGCACATCACAAACCTTATCATAAGTAAGGCAGAGGGGGGCACCACTGCTATCTAGACAAGGAATGAGTTTGTTACAGGAGTCCAAATTCACGGAAAACATCTCTAAGAAGGGGAAAAGGGAGAGATGTGATGTGGGAGTACCTCTAGCAGAAAAGAGTTAGGAAACATACCAGCAGCAATAACACCTTATCTCCTTCAAGTCCCCCTTGGCTCCTCACCATTTATACCAGAACTCTCTCTCTGGGAGCTTCAGGCCTTGGCAATTGGTATTTCTTGCTTGCCTAGGACTCCCCCCCTCCGCCCCCATACAACAGAGTAAGAACACACAAAAGGGAAGAAAAACAAGGGATTAAATAGAACTATCTTATAGATTTATTAATGAAAAATACTTTACAAAAAACAGCATGTTTGGCCCTAAAATAGTACAGCTGACTTTGAGGGTTTACAACGGTGACTAAGCAAGTGGCAGTAATGGCTCTGCTGCTGAGGACAGGAGGGCATGTTAGTGTACCTGACTCCATCTGTTCAGAAGGGCGAGTGTTAGGCTAGCAGCTCCCCATTCTAGGCTAAGGTTTGGGGGCACAGGGAAGGCTGACAGGCCATAATACCTGGCCAGGTGGGCTGCTCTAAGTGATGTAGTCAGAACCATAACAAAGGGGCTACATGTTCCTCCAAGGACGGGGCTATGAAATACAGAGGGTCAGGTAACAGGCATAGTAGAAAAGGACTAGAAGTCAGGACTATAGTAATGAACAGAGCATGAGCGTTTTGGTGGAGATAGGGGCATCGAGTATCCAGGAATAAAACGGTGGCACCTTAAGATAAGGAATGGCTAGTGTCGCGAGTAACAATACGGATTCATCTTTAAAAGTAGCTCAACTAAAGCCCTAAGCAGTAGTTGTCTTCCTTTTGCTAATGGAAATTGGAATTTCAAATGTTTCTTCCCAAAGAGCCAGGTCTCCTTAGAAATCCTTGGCGTCCCCAGGAGAAAGTGCCAACTCTATGCTGAGATGAGATTGGCATAACTATGGCAGGGATGCAGGGTACCAACTTTTCCCACATAGTTTTATCCTAAGAGAATGGTGTGGCTCTAGGAGAGTGAAGGGGTGACCCTTACCACCTACTGTGCTGCAGGGCTCTGGCCCTCATCTGCTCTCTTCTGGGGGCATCTGCTAGAACGAACAGAAGTCCTTCGCCCCCTGTCCTCCTGTGTCCAGGTTGGGAGGCATAACTGCCTTGCCTCCAGTCATCATCTGGAGGCATATCTACTCTTCGAGGACCAGGAGCTCGGGACCCTGGAACAGGACCCGAATTCCAGGCTGACCTCTGGGGTACATGAAGACTGCAGGACTGTGAGGACACATGGTGAACAATGGGAGGGTGGGAGGGCATGTGGAAAAGATCCCCCCAGGATTGTGCATGAGGAACCGGAAGTCCCTGGCATCTTTCTGGTAGTATGGCAGTGTGAGTTAGTGAAGGCTGGCACCCTGGAGTTGTCAGAAATCTGGCCCCAAGATGCGGGTTAGTCTCTGACCAGGGTCCCCAGGAGGAATCTGTCCTGGAGCGATGTGGGAGACTCCGGTAGCTCAAAGTCCTTTCTGTGTATTTGATCCCTTGGGAAGTTTCACCCCTGTCACACACAGCCAGAAACTGCTGGGCATTCCTCGAAGTTCCTGGGGAGAAAAAAGAAACCCAAAGGCTGAGCACCTTCAGAAACCACTCTTCTTTCCAGAGGATCATTCTGAACTGTTGCTCCCAGTGCCCCACCTCTCCAAGATCATAATCACAAGGGAAAGAAGGAAGTTAAGTTTCCTTTTGGTTTCACTTGTTAAAATTCTTAATATCTATCAAAATCAACATGGGCAAATCAAAGTATGCTGTATGATTGTCCTACTACTTCAGTCCACTATACTCCTTCCTATACACACACATACACACACACTCTATGTGTATGTGGCTCCTGAATACAGATAGCAAATGTATACTACAATTCTAATAACTGCATCTAGAGCCACCACTCCAAAGCATTACTCAATCTTTCTTAACAGGGTACCTTCAGTCCAGTTAAGCAATCTCTGCTTACATTCTTGCTCATTCTCAGAGATCTCTACATTTGTTCACACCACTCCTCCCAAAGACACATTCTCCTTTCTTTACAACAAACAAAATCACTAATTTCTTTAATCACGTCTAAAAAAAAATGCTTCTTTATTTCATGACCCAGCTACATCTGCATTATGCTCTTGTATGTATGACTGTATTCTGATTCTTTAAGCTCTGAGCTCTTGGAGAACAGCAAGACTTCTTCCTCTCCTGTTTTCACTGTAGCCTTCATTACAGAACAGCCTATAATCAGTGCTGCCTGACTGACTGGTGGTACCCTCAACAACTGTTAAAGGAAGCTGACTGCCTGGCTGCTCCATTGATTAACAAGGAATCCACCTCCAGAAAGCCGCCTTACCCAAAGCTTCCTGAAATTTGAACATAAACACCAACAGTATTAGTCTATCTTGTGTTCTAGCACACCCCAGCCCCAGATGTTTAGATCTTTAAGTCAAGGTTTCTTAACCTCAGTAGTGTTTTGGGGCTGGTGATTTTTTGTTGGGGAAGGAACAGGGCTACCCTGTGCATTACAGAATGTTTTACAGCATCCTGGCCTCTACCCACTAGATGCCAATAGCACATCCCCTTACCCATATTGAGCAACACTACTTTAAACTATAGATTATTTCCCATGTACAATTTTAATAAGGAGGAAAAGGACATTTTGCTGTGGAGGATCAAAGAAAGATAGCATGATACAGCCCACCTACCACAGAATTGTCTGAGTCTGTATGGGTACTCCATGTACAGACTCATTCCAAGTTTCCCATTTACTCCGTGTCCTCCTAGACCACCCTTCAATGCGACATAAAGAACAGAAGGAGAGAAAACTAGGTGATAACTTTCTGGGGTTTTTGTGTGTGGGGAGGGATCCTAAAGAGCGGATTTTAACTCCCCTTGATCACTGAAAGAGCTTATCTTATTATGACTGAAGCAATTCATTTTCATGGGTTATTCAGATTCTGGGGGCACTGGTTTTAGGGCCTTGGTTCAAGAATCATGTTGCTCAGTAAATGATCTACTCACAAATCATCTAAATCAATGCTTGATCTTAACTGTAACTTAGATCCTATACCATGCCACCTTGGAGGCCATCTCATCTCCTAAAAGGTATCATGTTCTAGCATATAACATTAGATATGGGAGGAATTACCTGGGGGTCTATGGGGCTCCCCTGCCATGCTGGGCACCAGGACATCTGGGGACAGGAACTGTGGTTGGGGAGGGTAGAGTTGGGGACCAAGGAGAAACACAGGAGGGTCATGGATGACAGAGAGAGAAGAGGAGCTGGAACAACGGTGCCCGGTTTCCAAAGGTTTTTTCCTCATGTTTGATGACTCCTTATAATGAGACAAGACAAAAAAACAAAAAAAAACAGAGATGAGGATTAACACACAGCAGGATGTGGTCAGGTAAACACAGTGAGGCAAGGGGAAAATGGAGGAAAAAAGAGCACAAACCTGCCATTGTTTTGGACAAGGATACTATTTACTCAGCCACTTTCCCTTGTCAGTACCTTTAGGTAACATCCGAATCACCTTGAACTGCTTGAGAATCCAAACTTCAGATCTTTTACCCTTAGCAAGACTCTTTCTCACAGCCCTCATCTTCCCAACCTACCATTCAGATGTTTAGCAAACTCCTTAATGCTAACAGGAGAATTAGAGATCAAGATAGAAATTAAATTTAAAAAAAAAAACAAAAAAACCATAGATTCAGAAGAACAAGAATACATCTAGTGAATGCAGAACCAAGGGCTCCACTCCACCTTCCTTCCCGTCACTGCGTTCCACAACCTCCTCATTTGCTGTCAAATGTGATACTCATGATGCTTTTGCCTGCTTATGTCATTAGTCAGTCTCCTTTGTGGTCAAGTCCGAGAAATATTCCCACCCTTTTAACATCTGAAACACTAACATGACCAAAATTGAATCACTATCCTTCCCAAGTACCACATTTTCCTAAATTACCCCGAAGAAAACTTGGCATTGTTTTTCATTTCCCACTTTCCTTCTACAATTCCAATAGCTGCATTTGTAAGTACTATCATTTCTATCTATGAATTTTATATTTGAATGCATCTGGACCACTGCAATAATCGCTAATCCTACCTTCCTAGCTGCAGTCAGCTACCTCCTTACCAACCTGTAAGGTCCTATGTAATCTGGCCCTGATAACTTTTCTTTTTGCCCCCTAACATTCTTGTGTCTTTACAACTCCACTTTAATCTTCTTAATGTTCTTCAAACACACCAAGCTCATTCCCACCTCAGGGTCTTTACACTTAACTGTTTCCATTATCTGGAATGTTTTTATGGTTTACACCTTCATATCCTAAGCTCTCTGATCAAATGTTACTTCATGGAGATTATTTCCCTTGCTGCCTGTCAACAACAGCCCTGTGTATAACTGCCACCATCTCTTTTTAACCCCTACTTACTGTGTTTTATTCTTCTCTATTACACTTACTGTCTGAAATTCTATCATTTGTGTTACTCTTTTAAGGTCTTTCTCCCCTAGTAGAATACATTTCTTATTAATTTCAGTATGTAAAAAGTTAAGAGGCTCTTCACTACATGCTCATAGCAGCTACCGCAGCATGACACATGGTAGGCATCTACCCAGTGGGCTGGACCTTGCAGCCTGATGACCAAAAGCCAGTCTACTCATCACCCTTCTTACCCATCATGCCATACTTGCCTGGCTTCCCTACTTCCTCTCTGACCACTTCGTCTCATTTTAGGGTTCTTCTTCAGAAAAACCACCCTAAGTCTGATATTCTTTATGACTATAACTCCTCTCCTCTTTTCACTCTACTCTTTTCATTGGCTGTGATTCTCATCTGTCTCCCATCTAAAGGTCTACCAGATATCTCCACTCATGCTTAATATATCTAATAGTGACCTCATCTCTTGTATTCCAGCTCCTGGAATCTCTATTTTAATTCAAGGTATAATCATCAACCTGTAAATTCTGATACTGCCCATCATTCCTACACACAGGCAAGCAATCACCAAGCCCCATTGATTTTTACCTCATAATTGGCTCTCCAATATGTCCTTCACTTATAGGACTCTCTATGATCCATGATCTGATCCTTGTTTATATTCCTTCCAGTCTCACTTGCCAACAGTTTCCAATCTCTCCCCTCAAAAGAAGATCTAATCCTGCCATATCAAACAAGCTTCTTTTGATTCAATTAATATTTGCTCCTGGGCTTTTATAGATACTGGTACCTTTACCTCCATATTCTTTCAGCTTCTTCTTTGGTCCCCAAAGCCTGGTTTAGTAATCCCTTCTATTATGCTCCTATGACATCAAATCCTCATCATCTCATGTTTGTTAATCTGTTTCCTCCAGCAGATAAGCTCCATTCAAGAGTAGGAACTGTATTGAACTCACTCATCACTATATCCCTAACACCGGGCACATAGGTGTTTAAAAAAATGCATGCTTGTTAAAAAAACAAGCATGCGTTTTTTTAAAAAATGAATCAAGTAATAAATGAATAATACAGGAAAAAAGGGAAGCCAATGCTCCTGGAAAAATAGCACTTTCTATTAAATACATTGACAGTATATTAGAATAAATACTGGACAGTAGAGACCACATTTTCCAAAAAGAAATGGCAGAAATGATCAGTTGGAAAAAATAAGTATTTCTAGAAAGGGAAACTGGATCTGAAGGATTACTGGGACAGAGCCATCATTTTCACTGAATATTATTTTGTGCCCACCAGTTGTCTGTCAGTTTGATGTATGGTGGTAGTTTACACATTGCTGTGATGCTGGAATCAACACTACCAGTATTTTAAGCACAATCAGGATCATGCATGGTAGACAAGCTACAGCAGACCTTCCAAACTAAGACAGAGTAGGAATAAGGAGAGGCAGACAACTTCTGAAGGGTTAAACAATGAAAACGTTATAAACAGTAGCAGAACTTGATCAGATACAATGGCAAAAGATGAAAACCTATGACTAAGAGTGGACCATTGTCAGACATAGTGCCAGAAGATGAACCTCTCAGGTTGGAAGGCACTTAAAATATGACTGAGGAAGACTGCATCCTCAAAGTAGAGTTGACCATATGAATTGAATGGAGGAAAGTTTTTGAGACCTAGATTTGCTAATGGGGCACAACTCAAACGGAAGAGAAATAGCTGCAAATATTCATTAATAATCAGAATGTGGAATGTACTAAGTATGAATCTAGAAAATTGGAAGTTGTCAGAAATAAAATACAACGTATAAAGATTGATAGATATCCTATCAATCACTAGGCATTAGTGAGCAGAAATGGACTGTAGTGGTCATTTTGAATAAGTTAATCATATGATTTAGTATGCCAGCCATGTCAAGTTCAAGAGAAATGGCATCACATTCATCATCAAAAAGAACATTTCTCATCACCGATAAAGGCAAGTGAGGGAAAAACAGCAATGAAGCTGCAAGCTAAGCCCTACAATGCTCAATAAACTCTATGAACCCGGATGGAGACCTGATTGGCTAGCAGTGTGCCAAGTCCAGGGGACTCTTGGACCCAGTCAGCGACATAGCCACAGAGGACTAGAGTGGAGAGTGAAGTGTCCAGCTGATAAGAAAAGAAGGCATATGCATGAGTACACCCACACTTGCAGATAATACCCACTTGATCTGGCTTCAATGGCTGAATAATAAGAGCTCAAACAGAACAAGAAAGAAGAGGGAAAAAAGAATAATCTGATACAATTTGATGAACTAGACATACACCTATGGAAGCAGCAGCTCAAAAGAATGAACAAATCTTCACAGCAAGGATCATTCCCGCCTCCTCCACACACGGAGAGGACAGGGATGGGCAACTTGGACACTGGCTACCCAGAATGGGGGTGCTACAGAGGCAAGAAGTGACTGGCTTACAAACTTTCAAGAGGGAACCTAGATCCACAGGGCGTGGAGCAAGGTAGAATCTTCACTGAGTAGTATCCATTCTGCCTAGTTAGGGCTGATGAAAGGAGCTGCAGATAGGTCTCTTGCAATAAAATAGCGAATAATTGTTATCAGGACTGATTGTAAGGGCTGGAAATGTAAAGGTAGACATTTGGGGGCAGAGGGAGGGGAGTGATGAACCTTGCAATCTAGGAGCAGAGGTCCCTGGGACCATCAAAGGAGAAGAGCAGAGAACGGAACCCTACCCAGAGAAGCAATGATGCCAGGGATGGAAGCAGAGACAATGACGTGGGGAAATGGAGAAGCTTTAGACTTTGGACCCGGAGAGGGAGAGGGGCAGTATGCAGACAACTGGGGGGCAGGCTTGCGAGGTATACCCTTTGGTTGATGGATGATGCATAGAAGGGATAGTAAACATGGAAAGGAAACAATATACGACGGGATCAATGTGAAGCTGATATCCTCCCATGTAAACTATCACATACTTCACAATAAAGCATTAGAAAAAACAAAGAACATTTCAATATCTATCTTGAAGTGAACTGCTGTCTGTGATAGGGTAATATTACAATGAAGCCCAGTTAATACCACTGTTATTCAAATTTATACACTAACCACTAAACCCAGTGATGATGAAACGGAAGAATTCTAACAACTTCTGCAATCAGAAATTGATCAAACATGCAATCAAGTTGCATTGATAATTACTGGTGACTGGAATGAAAAACAAAGAGGAAAGATCAGTAATTGGAAAATATAGCCTTGCTGACAGAAATGATGCTGGATATCACATGACAGAATTTTGCAAGACCAACGGCTTATTCATTGCAAATACCTTTTTTCAACAACATAAAAGACAACTATACATGTAGACCTCACCAGATGTAATATACAGAAATCAAAATGACTACAATTGTGGAAAGAGATGGTGTTGAGGCTCAATATCATCAACTGAAACAAGACCAGGGTCAGACTGTGGAACAGACCATCCACTGTTTAGATGCAAGTTCTGGTTGAAGCTGAAGAAAAATAAAACAAGTCCAGGAGAGCCAAAACATAGCCTTGAATATATCCCACCTGAATTTTGAGATCGTCTCCAGAACAAATTAGATGCATTAGACACTAACGACCAAAGACCAGAAGAGCTGTGGGATGATATCAAGAACATCATATAGGAAGAAAGCAAAAGGTTATTAAAAAGACAGAAAAGAAAGAAGAAACAAAAATGGATATCAGGAGAAGAAACAAGATGGCAGATTGGGTAGTGGTGCAGTGAAGAGCTCCGTCAGCAACAACACAGAATACTAGACCAAGCAGGCTCAGGGGATGGTGCTAGAACTTTGAACCACATATAAAGGAATATTTAGAATGTTGGAAGGCTTACAGCTAGGGGAATTTGTAGCAGAAGGC